TCTCTATTTTTTCTTTAAAAAATAGTAAAAAAAAAAATTCCATTATACACACTCGAAAGCTCAGGAGCTCCCAATTCAAGTTTTTGTTCTTTACTCAGCAGTCGGGAGTCAGGCTGGTGGTACAGTAGATATTTTAGTAGAACCAGACATTTGTATATAAGTACAATATTTGATGGCCCAAGCTAAAGGCTCAGTAGCTTTCAAATCGGTTTTCTTTGACTCAGGAGCAGGGAAACGAGAATCTTACACGGCACCTGCAGCTTTGGCTGCTTTGGTTAGTTGCATTGAATTTTTGGTATATTTTAGAGTTTTATCTGTTATAATAATAATCAAATTATTTTCATTCTTTCACACTCCCACGTTAAAAAAAAAAAACGATAATCTTACACGGGAGTGTAGTTTTTTGTGGTTTTATTTTTCGAAAATATTCCTCTGGTTCGAAAAAAAAAAACAAAAAGAAAGAGATATTTTAGTTACAAAACATTTTTTTGGGGGTAATATTTTAAATGAAAAAAAATAAAAATAAAAATTTGTTTACATTTTAAATGTCAATTCTATTCAATCTTAATTGTTTTATTTTTATAATTTAGAATGTTGAAAATTAGTTATTTATTTTTTATTATAAAATGTTATTTGACATATTTTATTTTATTACTCTTTATGTATTAAAATAATTATTATTTTTTATGTTTCTCTCTAAATTAAGAATTTGTAGATAATATTTATATGCTTCTATAACATCTTTAAAAAAATAACAGATAAAGAGAATTTTTTTTATGATTAGATGATTAATTAAAGTGTATAGATAATAATAAAGTTAAAGTAAAAAAATAATATTTGTTTACATTATAAAATGAAAAAATAACAATTAACTTAAAATAAATGCAAAGTTACAGTTATTTTAAAATAAAGAAAGTAGATAATTACAACCTTTATCATAATAAGCACAATTATTTAAATTCTAGTTAATTAGTAATTAATGCCCCCTACATCTCAAAATAATAAACTATTTTTCTTTAAAATATATCCCAAAATAATAGTTATTTTTTCATATTTTAGAGAAAAACGAGGATTCAAACTCTCAACCTCGTGGTAACCAATTAGAGGTTATAATGCAAACATTATTAGTAGAGATAATTTGCATCAATTCCATGGTATAAGGGTTTAGATGCACTTTTTTTAGTTTGGGGGCTTGTGTGTTAATTTGGAAAAAGTTTGAGGGCATCAACAAGAAAATATTAAAAAGACTAAAATTCGACTATAAAATGAAGCATTAGCTTGCGTCTTCCAGACAGGCTCTATATCAATAGATGGGAAATCCACATATTTTGGTCGTTCCTTTTCCAGCCCAAGGCCATGCAATTCCTCTCATGGAGCTCTCACAAATCTTGATCAAACATGGCATCAAAATCACATTTGTGAACACTGAATTCAATCACAAACGAATCACAAATGCACTGGGCAAAGAACCTGAAGGGCAAGTTCATTTTGTTTCGATCCCAGATGGGATGGGTGCGGAGGAAGACAGGAATCATATAGGGAAGTTGGTTGAAGCATGCTTGAAGTTCATGCCTAGTGAGCTTAAGCAACT